CTCTTTGAATTTTTGCAGTGATTTTCCATTTTGATTTTTTTTTTTTTTAATTCTTTGGGTACTCTCATCTACATTCTCTGTATCTGTCTCTCCATGTAAAATATAACAACTGTGTACAGCTTACAGTCAGTCTGCAGATCTTAGGCATGAATTCAAATGACCCTACAATGCTCTTATGCATAACATAACTATTAGATTATGCTGAACTCCTACCATCTCTTGTTGTCATGGAACCTTTCTGAAGGGAATCAGTTGTCAGTTGCTTCACTTTCTACACAGGATATCCATAAACTGTATTCTTGCAACAATTTTCACTGCTGTATGACTTAGTCTGTTGGAAAATCCCATCCTCTTCTTCTATAAAACATCTGTTTATCTGCAAATCAGAGGCAGGGTGGCTAGCTTCTTAAGATGTATAAGGCTAAATTCTTTGCTGATTTTATTCAGGAGACTTTAATAGCATTATATCGGGTGAATTTGGCCTTAAGGTTTTTCAGTTTGAGACCACACAGCAGCATCTTGTGTATATCGGCAATGAGTGTGGTATCCAGATGCTCTGAAGACAGTGTTTTTAAGAGTCAGGCAAGTCTTTAGCACCTGTTCTAAACATTCAGATGTTGGTATCTCCTCCTCATGATGGCAAAGAAGTGGTTAGAAAAATAAAATCATCATTCTCATTATGTCATATGGGATGCAAGGGAAATGACTCAATGTTCCTGAATTTCCAAACCCACAGCTGTCAATGAAGTTCATTTGAGCTGTGGATGACTGGACCCTTAACCTACTGTCCATGCTAAGACTTCTGCACTCTTTCTGATGCCACAGCAGAATAAAAAGGGTATGGCTCATTAGTTATTTTCTAGCTTAGATTTTTCAATACTTTTCTCCCTCTTGACTTTTCCCTGCATTCTGACAGCTTGCAGTTCAAGAAACAGCCCTTATATAGATTTTTTAAAATTTTAACAATCCTCATTGTTTACAATCATTCTATTCAACTTTATAAACTGGCTTGCAATAGGAAATACCATCATCCACCTCACTTTTTAGATTATGATGAATAATGAGGTTTAATTATTGTTTTTGGAAGGACCGAGTTATTCTGGTTTTGATTTCTAAGGTAATTCACAATTTAGAAATGGGTAAATAGAATAAATATGATGATCTATATCAATAGAAGCTAAAAGAAGATTATAAAGTAAGGCTCTGTAGCTTTGTAACAATAGCATAAAGTGTGAAATAATGAACTGTAAATGTGTCTAATTACATAAATAATGCATTTGTATAATTGTCTAGTAGGAGTGTGCTAATGAATCAATTATTTTTAATTGTAGCATGCTTGATTGTTTCAGAAATATAATTGATTGTAATCAAGAATCAATTAAATGTTGTTAGCAATTGTGTTTATCAAATTTAAATACATTATTACATTATTATGGCCCATAACATTGAGGAAGAAGAAATATGAATGGCTTATACTGGTAAAAGTCACATGTTCCTGCTATAGACTCCTATAATGTAATGATGTAAGACAAGATGATCACTTCAGAAAACAAAGTTATTTATTTAGGTTATGATCTCAACTGACTGGTTAGGAAAAGCAAGGGATAACCTGGTTACTTCATGAAGCAGGGTTAATTGCTAAATTAGTGTCCAAGGGTGAAAATCTTTCTAAAATGTGAAACTGAAGTTCTGATCATGTCATAAAAATACCTTGGTGGATTTAATAAATACTCTGCCTTGCTGCCATGCCAAATTACCCTGTGTCTCATTTTGTCTGCCTAAAATTCCTCTGTAGCCACTTGAACCTGGTTTCACTTTATTTTCCTAATTGTGAGATTTGGCTGTGCAGTGCAGCACAATTGTGAGGTTTTACCCCACAAATGGCAAATGGGGTTCTTTTTGGTAAAGTGTAACTTTTATATAATAATCTCATGCTCAAGAATGTCATGTAAAATATATTAAAAAGACATCAAACTACCTTTAAGAAGGATACTATGAATACAAAAAAACCCCTCATTAGAAAGTAAAAAGTGTGTTGGCTTTTTTTAAATTGCAACATCTGAAAGTCAGGAGTCTGTCTCAAATGGAGCAATTTCCATGTATAGAGGATGAGACAGTGAGTATTACAGACTCTTTTCACTTTTTAAAATTTAATACAGATGCTGCCACGGCACTTAAAAAATTCACCTTATGTTTCATGAGACAACAGAATCTAGTTCACTCTCCACTAGTTGCATTTACTCTAGCATTGTAATGCTCATATAGAGTAGTGCCAACTAAATCAAGCTGATACAACACTGGATACAGATAAAGAAACAGAACAGATAAGTGGGGAACGTGTCATTTTCATATGGCTCCTTTTTTAAACACCCTTTCCAAGATAATGCTGCCTGTGTTTCCAATCAGTTTTAATTTAAATTTTTAGGTTTATTGTGATATAGTGGGTAGGAGAATGGGTCATCTGTGAACAGTATTCATCAGAGAGACTGCATATGACCTCCGTCCTGTGGACTCTATGCAGCTTGATCAGCATATTTGTCCAGCTTGCAATGCAATGTAAAATTGAACTTTGTAGCACCTTGCACTAACAGTAGCATAAGGACAGAGCCCCCTGCAAAGGGAAATATGATTTGCTACTACTGTTCTGTTGGAAAACAAGGAGAATTTTTGTGTGAGACTGTAAAAAATATGTACATAGTAAAAATAAAGAGTGCCATCTACTGACATTTAAGAATAGAGTGTACATATAGTATTGTTCATAAATCTGCTGGCTCAATAAAGTTGTTGTTATACTCCAAATGGCTTCTTGAATGTAGGTATTAGCATGATCCTAGATGGTTTGCTTTTCAGAGGAGAGCTGGAGAGGAGCCAGAATGTCTGTCCTATAGAAAGTGTTTGTATTTCTGAAAAAAATATTATTCTCAACCAAAGATAAAAGTTGAATATGCAGAATTATTCATTGAGGAGATATGAAAAACAAAAGTCATCCCCCACAGCTGGGTGGGGGAAGGGGAGCAGGTCTTACATCCCACAATCTACTGCTGAGGAGCTGGGGAGTAGAGCCAGCTGTCACAAAGTCAGCCTGCCTGGTTCACAACAACATTTCTATGCCAGTTCTACTGACTCAATATTTTCCATGTGGAAACTTCTTAGTAAGAAATTTTCTGACCAGTTCAAAACAGTTGCTGAGCTTGAAAAGAGGTAAATGATCAGGATTAGTCAGAATTTTGCCCATGGGACTGATCATGCATTTCTCCCATTCTTTCCCAAACTATGTGCCTTATTTCCAGCAAATAATGTTTAAAGCAACCAATAATTTTCCTGATATAGAGTCCCAGTGATTAAGTCCTTGTGTAGACCTTGTTGGACAAGCTTGGAAAGGTTAAAACAGGAAAGTCTCTGGATGAGAGAGCCTCTGGAGAGTATGTGAGAATGACTGACTGTTTGATTGATTGATTGAGGGGTAGGTATTGACTGCGAGAACAAACTGTGGAGGCCTGACGTCTAGCTGGAATGAATTAGGGATGTTGAAGAAGTGATAAGACCTACCTGCCTAGTCTCTCAGTTCTGGACAAAATGACAGAATTATACAAACAAGTTAAAATGATGGTGGACTAATGTTCTGGGAGAAAAGATAATTTAGGCACTAGAGGTGTTTATACATGTGCTCCAGGAGTGGGATGGGAGGGACGCTTTAATTAGAGTGGCTATATGTCAGGCCTCCAAGAGCTGTTCTAATTAAAGCGCCCAGAATGACACATGTATCAGCATCCCTGAGCTGAAAAATGGTGGCGGGGTGCTTTATCTAAAGCTCATTGAATGAGTTTTAATTAAAGCAACCCCACCATTTTTCAGCATGGGGACATAGATGCACATGATGCTGGAGTCTGCTGCAGCATGGTAATTACCATGCTGCAGCAGACTCGTTTAATCAAGTCTGCTTCCACACACTGTAGTTACAGCATGTCGAAGCAGCCTCATTGCATGTGTATAGGCTCCCTAACTGTCACCTAGGTAGGAGGCTAATTAACATGCTTGGCACATGGTCAGTATGCTGACTGATTACATGTAAATGCATGATGGTCAGGGAATGCACCTATGTAACTCTGTGGCAGCTAATGAGCGGACTAACTATATATCTGTGTATGTATTAAAGATGTATTAAAGCCAGACAATGTAGTTTTTTATCCTCACTGTGTCTGTCTACTTGAACTGTGTTGCATTAGGAGCTGATGGCCTGTTGGGAGCAAGGGCCCCTTTCTAAAATTATGTGGCACTGAGGGTACAGAGCTCGGCGTCCCCTAGAGCTCTTTGGGCTACTGCTGTAGAACACAATCCTGTCCTTCAGCTCCTGCCCAGGCATGGCACTGGTGGTTTACTCGCATGTGGAAATGCAATGGTGAAGACACTGTAGATGCAGCCCCACCATTGCTGTTAAACATGCTCACTTGAAACCAGCAATGGAGGGAAGGGAGTGGCCTCAGAGCATTTTCATATTCCACATTTGGACAATGTGAGCTGGAGTAGGTGGACAGAAAGTACTCTTCAATGGCAGCCTCCAGAGCATGGGAGACACAGTGTAGACATGCCCATTGCTAAGGGTACCCTCTGCATAACTGGAGAAAGGATTGTGTAATTGGGCCTTTTTATCAATACAGTTATCAGTTGCTTTCCGCATTGCTTATTGGAAATAAGGTGTGTGTTGTTGGGGAGAGAAGAGGAATGAATGGAAGGCATAAAACTATCATTTAATTCTGTCTTTTCATAGAGTCATAGAAAATTAGGTTTGGAAAGGACCTCAGGAGGTCATCTAGTCCAACACCCTGCTCAAGAAGGATCATTTCCAACTAGATCAATCCAGCCAAGGCTTTGTCTACTCAGATCATAGAAGCCTTTAAGTTTTACAAATTTTCCTTGTTTCCCCTGCA